TTCCACTTTCATATTTTAAAAAGATACGAAAAACTAATTTTAATTAATACAGTAGAAAAATAAATTTATGCGAAAGAGAGAATTATTTTTTAAAAAATAATGCCAGAAAAAAAACCTTTTGACTCTTTTTAAAATTGAAAAAAAAAATGTCGATTCCACATTATTTATTTTCCTTAAAAATCTAATTAATAATTTGAATTATTTTTCTTTTTTTTTTAAGAGCTCATTCAGAACTTTTAAATATGCCCCATTCAAAGTTTTTGTATGGAATATTTTAAAAAACAACAAAAAAAGTCATATTTTCTAGTTTACTTTGAAAGTATAATTTTTCAAAATATTTATATTTTAGAAAGGATGTGTGACTATTTATATTAATTTGACTTAATTAATTGATAAAAAACTTAATGAATATGTTAATGAACAAGTTAGATGTTGCGTGTTAATTTTGGGCCCGTTCTAAAAATCCTTTTTTTCTATTCTTATATAAGGGATTGATATTTTTTCGAAGAATTTTGGTTTATAAATAATGATCTCAAATTCTTTGTATAAAACACTAATTGACCATTGAGAAAAATCTTTTAAAAGATTTGTCTTGTTTATTTTAATTGGGTAAAATAAAGCATCTAATAGCTTATATTGATTCTCTCTTTTTAATTCCAAATAATTCCATAGAATAGATAAACATTATAATGATACACCTAAACCTCGCTTTGCGTAGTTTCTTTTTGCGTTTTTTTCGAAGTTGCGCCGCTGCTTAATTTTTACTGATTTTCACTGTGCGTCGTTAGATTTTCGAAGTTATTTGGATTCGAGTCTTTAATTTTTTTTTTTTTTCCTAAAATATGGCAACACCTTTGTTTTTGATTGAGCCTTCACATATTTTCACTTTGCGTCGTGTTTTTTTGGAACGTAACCCCGACGCAAAGCGAGGTATGGGTGTATTGTGTTGGATCATTTTTGAAGACAACTCTCAGATTTATAAAATTAATTTATTAAACTTTAAACATTTTTAGATATATATAGAGAGAAACGAGTTAATTACCTCGTGTATTTAAGGCAACAATCATCTAATTTACATACATCGTTCTAACTAGATTCAAATTGTGCAAAACAGACGACAAAAAATAAATAAATAAATTGATAATAGAGAGTAAGTTCCTATTTTTTACAAGCTTTCACATTCAAAGCTCACCATTTTCTTGCTTCATATTGATGAGAAATTTCTAAATCATGGTGGATGCAATCTTAAAGAGAAAAATGAGATATCACTATTTTGTTTGAGTTGTGTATGTGTTTGTTGTTGTTTTGATCTAAAGATGCTGTTTAACGTTAAAAACTCCTCTAACCCAGGTCATCTAGTTTGGAAATAAATGATAAAGAGAACTTTACCATTTATTTTTTTAATAAGGTAATAAATAATTTATATTTAATTTAAATTGTATAACGAAAGAAATGTAAAACTTATTAATATTCTGTGACAATCTGATATTATAATCATTTTATTAACGCTGAAATATTTCTGTTTAAATTTTGAAAACCATTTTTTTTAAATCAGACTATATATATAAACCTTTTTTTCAAACAAAAATAATGTAATATATTTTTCTCTCTGTATATAATAGGTATTTAAAATATGTATATAATAATGTGTATATAAAAAAATGTATTTTTTATTAAGTGGTTAAAGTGATAATCCTGTTAAAGAACTGACGAGTCCGAAAGCTTGAAAATAAAAATAAAAGTTGTACAAGAAACTTAACTCTGGAAGCTTCATTTATTTTATAATAAAAGTTTTTGCAAAAGTTTTATTTAAGACACAGTTCACTAGTCGGTCATAGATTTCCTCAATTTTATAATTTGTTCAAAATAATTTAGACATCTTATGTGGTGCACTTACAGTAAAAGCAGTCGCCTACTTCTACCCACCATGATTATCATGGCCTGTACCACGTGTACTAGGGATAAGCAAAAAAAATTGACACCTATTCAAATCATATCTGTTCAAGGTTTGTTTAGGATTCTGAAATGAGGGTTTGTCTATTTTAAAATTATAAAATGAAAGTTCAAAGGTTTGCCAAAGTCCGTATCTAAAAAGCCAATATTTATATACTATATTACATTTTTCTGTGGAAAAATAGACACTTCGGCCAGTTAGAGTTTTTTATTTTCTCAACGCTTCGATAAAAATATTTTTTCTTCGTCAGGAGAAACAAATAAAAATAAAGTATTTGGTAAGTCGTTAAAAATTGTTCTAACTGGCCGAAGTGTCTATTTATCACAGAAATATGAATGCTGGCCAGGCAACCTCTATCCTCAGGATTTATTACATTTATTTATTATATTATAATTTCCTAAATTATAATTTCTCATATTATAATTTACTACTTTATAATTTATTATATTCACAAGGTAATAAGACCAAATAAATAAATAGTCTGTGACGTTTCGGTAACAGCGTTGTTATCATCTTCAGACAAAAGTACTGAATGAGAAATTTTACCACAGCATGTTTTAAATATGTGATAAAATCTCATTCAGTACTTTTGTCTGAAGATGGTAAAAACGCGGTTACCAAGACGTCACACACTATTTATTTATGTGGATTTGGTCTTATCACCTTGTGTTTATAATCTACAGATGTTTGTATAATCCAAATTGTGCCTTATAAATTTCTTAATTTTTCTTTTCTCATATTATAATTTCCTATATTACTTGTATAATTTTTATTCTTTTTAAAAAGAGCTTTCTCTAATATGGAGAGAACTCCAAACAAAGTTCCTTACAACCAACAAAGCAAAACGGTCCATGAATAAATGACGGAATATCTAATTGCTGAGGACACAACACACCAAGTCACGCGTCTCCAGAAATGTGTCTCTCAGTGGTTGTCATGGCGACCACCCACAGGTAAAATACCTTGTTGAACTCGTTTACAACAAAGATCTTTCTCTGTAGAATATTCCTGCTCTTTTTCTTTTTAAAAAGGATATCATTTCGGTTGCTATGGCGACGCTCTCTTAGGACAAATTTTCCTTCTCTTTCAACAGGCGACCCTTTGTTGAACTCTTTTACTACGAAGATGTTCGGATATCTTTATAGAATTTCTGTTTGCAAACTTTTCTTTTCTTTATTTGGTGTTTAAACTGTATCGTATCTATAACATTGATGAATACTGAAATTTGCACGTTTTTTGCTTATTCCTAATACACGTGGTACAGGCCATGATAATCATGATGGGTAGAAGTAGCCGACTGCTTTTATTGTAAGTGTACCACATGTCTACACATGTAAAAAGCAGTTTGCCTTTTGCACTTACAAATGTGCCAGAGCTCCCCGTTTGGTTACTTGCACTAGCTGGTGGGGTTGGATTTTTTGTAAGAATAGGGGGCAATTGGAGCATTTTTTACATTGAAAGAAAGTGTCCAATGCGGGATTCTATCCCGGGTCGTAGCGGTAAAAAAAACCAATGGTTTAGACCATCCTTCCACCGACTCCCCACTTATTAGTAACTAGCCGAATGACCCGGGCAACACCCGTGTTTTACCCGATTGAATGTTTTTATTCAAATACTATTTGTTACAATTATAAATTGGCGCCTTATATAAATGCATATGTTAGTTAATAACTATAGCCTATGTGCTTTATCTGTCTATGTACTGTTGGCTTCCGTAGGCGTCTCTTACTGGGAAAAAGAAAGAGAGGATTTCCATTTAGTTATTAACTAATATATGCATTTATTTAAGGAGCGACCCGCTCCAACACAATAGTTACAAAAAACAAAAAGCGAGTGGAGGGGGCATGATGGGGGGTGGGGGGCAAAGGTGGCGTGATCGTAGCCAACCAATAGGAGAACGCCATTCCAAAAAAAAAAAAGCAAACGGTGACAGAGATAAGGAATTATTAAGAACGCATGACGCTTGTAACTGTATATAGAATGTGTGAATGTATAATACCAGGACACACTCTATTTTATATAAGCCGTTCTATACCAGTTCTATAATCTAATAGCTATAGCTTAGATTTTACTGTCTATGTAAATGGATATGTAAATATACGTATAAAATAGAAAACAAGAGCATATACAAGAGTTAGACAAGAAAGTATAAATGTAGACCGTCTATATCACAATAACGAGGGACAACAATACGAAACGCGTACTTAGTTCTGTTTATTTATCAATAATAATTATTATTATTATATTTGTTTCTTTATTATATATTAGATTTTATATATTATTATCATTATTATCTACTTATATATTTGCCTTATTCTGTCTGTTTGTCTGTTTGTCTGTTTGAAGCTCACGGATGGGATTTTTCATAACCATCGGTGGTTCAGTGGTAGAATGCTCGCCTGCCACGCGGGCGGCCCGGGTTCGATTCCCGGCCGATGCATTTTTTTTTTTTTTTACAATTTTTAAAACTCATTTATATATTATACAAGAATGACATCCACGGCGCCAATTTATAATTGTAACGAATAGTATTTGAATAAAAGCATTTAATCGGGTAAAACCCGGGCGTTGCCCGGGTCATTCGTATATAATAATTGTATAAACGAATGCAAGACAAAATCACCGCGAATGTTTCTTTTTTTTAAGGCAATTTCTTTTTAAGGCAATTATCGTTATTTATCGTTAATTTTTGTTCCGATTTTATTGAAAAAAAAACGATATGGTGCCTTTAAAAAACATTTTAAAATATATACGCACTCGGGTAAAACCCGGGCGTTGCCCGGGCCATTCGTCTAGTATTGGATAAATGCATATATGCTTTTAGTCAGGATATGCCTTCTTTATTTTTATTATTATCATTATATTAATTTTTACTATATATTTTTTATAATGTTAACTTTGACTTTAAATTATATATATATATATATATATATATATATATATATATATATAGATGTGGAGATATGTGTAGTACTTCGGTGGAGTACAACTCTCTTGAATCTTCTAATTGTCTTCAAATAAAATAAAATAAATAATAATATTACAGGTTACAGGTCCTAGTGGACATGGCATCTGCCCGGTAAGCGGAACACTGTGGGTTCGATTCCCATCCCTGGACACTTTTATTTTTTCCGTTTATAATTACTATTCACAATTCATCCTTTCATACCTCATTCCTAAGGTTAGAAATAATCGTTATTTCTCCTTAAAATAAATTTTGATTTTTCGTTGAAAAGAAACACATTCCGGATAATTTTCAAATGTCGTTTTACAATCACAAGCCGCATTATATTATATTGAATAATACTATTATTCAGATATATGCAAATGAAGATAAATGAAATAAACACTTTATTCCAACGCGCAGATCAATACTTAATAAAAGAAATATTTTTAAATATTATCTCTGATCAATATTTTTAAAGCTCTTAATTTTATTGGTCAAAACTTTAGCTTGTTAAACTGATTTTATTTTTAACAAGTCAAATATCTCATGAATTTTAATTAAGGTTTATTAATATTCTTTAACTTTATATGGTAGAATATATTAAAGTAATTTATATTCTCAAGGCCATAATTATTTTAATAAATTAAGGATGTCAAAAAACAGTCTATTAAATTTATTTTTGTAAAATATAATTATTAATATTATATAGCGCGCTATTATATAAATCAATCTAAAGTTTTGTAAATATTTTTGATATAATTCTAAATATATATTTTATAATGTAATTTTATTTGTATAGAAGAAGGCTAGCGCCATCTATTGACAAAAATAAGAACTAATAAATATATACATATGTATATATGTGTGCGAATATTTTGTGGGTTGTTTTAATAATGAAAATTTATTGGAAGATATTTACATATTCTGGATCCAATTCATATTTTTACATATAAACCTATATTCCTTTAAATGTTTTATGGTGAATTGTTTCTTCTATTGTTTCTGGGGGCAATCTACCGCAGACGATGCAAAGCGTTCGCCATTATTGGATTACTACTTCCAGGTTCTTTTGGTTAATTATTTCTCTCGGCTGCTTAGCTAGAGAAATCTGTTGTACTGAAGGAAATATTACATTCAGCCTTTATTATGTTCATTTTTACCCATTTACACATATTCTTATATTTATTTATTGTATATTTAATCGGCACATATTCTATCTGTATGTATCATATTGTAACGCAGAAAATTAGGAAAGACAGAATTACACGGAATTTTCATAGAATAATAAATAATTTGCTACAATATTTATTTCACAAATTTATATATGCATTGATATATATTATCATCAAATACATCACTATATATATATTAAAAAACGAAATAAAAAAAATAAAAGATAAAAAGATCAGGTGTTGAAATCAATATTAATATTTTCTCTTCTAAATATCTTCTATTTTTTTTTATTTCGTTTTTTAATGTGCTAAGCGTATTTACGCAAGTTTGGCCTTAAATACCCATTTCTTGGTTTTTCAGGAAGCCATTGGGATCAAAAAATATTTTTTGGTCGCAATGGTTCAGCCTACTCCACGCTGACGAGCGCCAAAAGCGCGAAACGCGTTCGTGGATGGCTTTTCTTGATTTATCAAGAAATTGGGCTGGCCAAATATCAGGGAACAGGCTAAATCAATGTTTAGTTGATTTCTGTTCCACCAGATGGCGCTCTGCCTTCTGTAAAGCACATGTGCTCTTGGTCAGGATATGCCATTTTTTATTATATATATATATACTAGACGAATGACCCGGGCAACGCCCGGGTTTACCCGATTAAATGTTTTATTCAAACACTATTCGTTACAATTATAAATTGGCGCCGTGGATGTCACTCTTGTGAAACGTCCCGCTCCAAACTTTACAGTCAGATTAGTTACGATATAAATCTTCAAATCGAGCGAGCGTCTATAAATATTTCGATTTAGATCAAGTATTCTAATTATTAAGCGAACTATTATTAATAAAATTTTGAGAAGATTTCGATTTTAAACGTATTTATAACCTTGATAGAGGGCGCTGTTCGTGAGCTAAGTAGAATAATTTGAATATATAGTTTTAATATTTAATTTATATATAATTTAAAATAGCCTATCGTTTTCCTCGTATTTTTTACCTATGTATGGAAATTTTGGTTTGAATTAGTGAACTACTGCGAATTTGTATACCGGACATACAAACCAACAAACAAACAAACAAACATACAAACATTCATTTTTATATATATAGAAGATATAATATAAATGAGTTTTAAAAATTGTTAAAAAAAAATGCATCGGCCGGGAATCGAACCCGGGCCGCCCGCGTGGCAGGCGAGCATTCTACCACTGAGCCACAGATGCGTATACAAAATGGCCATATTTGGGTATTCATTCCATTCCGGATTACTCCGCGTAAAAAAAAAGTTCTTCAAATGAAAAAAAGAAATAGCCAAAAATACTAAGCAAATTGTATCCAAAAATTTTCCTCAGGTTTATAAAAAGCGACATGCAAAATTTGGTACCAATTGGTTCAGTAGTTTTTGAGTTTATCGCGAAACAGACAGACAGACAGACAGAAATTGACTTTTATATATATATAGAGATATAGAGATTAGTGTTTAGGTATTTGATTTAATTCATATAGTTGATATAATAGTATATATTTATATTATATTTTTATAAATTAGTTTTAAAAATTGTAAAAAAAAAAAATGCATCGGCCGGGAATCTAACCCGGGCCGCCCGCGTGGCAGGCGAGCATTCTACCACTGAGCCACCGATGCGTATACAAAATGGCCATATTTGGGTATTCATTCCATTCCAGATTACTCTGCGTAAAAAAAAGTTCTTCAAATGAAAAAAAGAAATAGCCAAAAATACTAAGCAAATTGTATCCAAAAATTTTCCTCAGGTTTATAAAAAGCGACATGCAAAATTTGGAACCAATTGGTTCAGTAGTTTTTGAGTTTATCGCGAAACAGACATACAGACAGGAATTGACTTTTATATAATATATACATATACCTCTTTGGCAGATTGTCAAGATTCCATTATATCCCGTGTGGATCTCATGTAATAAAGTCTGCCCTAGACTGACGAGGGCCATTAGCCCGAAACCATCGTCTCTAGGTGGACGCTTTTCAGTTTGTCAAAGCTGGTGTTGTGGCTTTGTCACCGACCCGAGGCCGCTAGTTTGCGTCGACGGCCAATAGATGGCGTCGAGGTTTGAGGTTATTTTGACGGGAGAGGCGACCTTTGTCTCTTTAGATATATACATATATATCAAAAACAAAATAGGCATATCCTGACTGCTCACATGAACTATTTTTAGATAACAGAGCGCCATCTAGTGGAACAAATATCAATTAAACGTTGATTTAACCTGTTCCCTGATATTTGGCCAGCCCATTTGTTTGATAAATCAAGAAATCAATTTTTTATATCAACATCTAACCATTTTTCTATTTTCAATTATATTTACATATATAATTATACAAATTTTCTATCTATATATATTAATAATGTTTCATTAAATATTCATATAATTGTGTAGGTGTTTTTGTATTTGGAATATATTCGTATATCAAAAGTCGTATTTATTTTCCTTCCAAAAATATTTTAATTTGCCATTTTTGATACATATAATGAAATGTTCTGAAAATAGAGCAATCCATACTTAAATCATTAGATAGTAAAATGGCATATATTGGATTAAATAAAAGATTTATTTGCCAATATTTCGGTTGGCTGAACGCCAACCTTTATCGAGGCTTTACATTTTTGTATACACAAACTCAAACACAACTATGAGGCGCTGAGTTTGTGTATACAAAATTGTAATGTCTTGATAAAGGTTGGCGTTCAGTCAACCGAAATATTGGCAAATAAATATTTTATTCAATCCAATATATGCCTTTTTATTATATAATAATGATATGTGGAAAATAATCAAGAAAAAAATAGAAAAACGATCAAGTGTTAATTTTGATATAAAATAGAAACCTTTGGTTACACAGGATCAAAAGATACCTTTTTCTTAATTATGCTAAGTTGAACAACGGCCATTGTACTAAATGTTCCAATGTAGAAAGTTATTACAACTTAGAAATTCTCCGGTAAAAAACATAATGAAGAAAGTAACTAGGATAAAGTTTGCGAGACAGTTTCTCACGGAATTCTAGATCACGGCAAGTGGCATGAGAACTCTTACAAATATTCTGGAATTTACTTCTTACTTTCTTTATCTAAATCCTTTATATCGTTATCTGAACATAAGGTGTAAATATAAGTCTTCCAGGGATATGTTTCTTTTAAAATATATTAATTCACAAATCTCTAGGTTTCGACTACGAAAGCCCTTCTACAAGAGATTTATCGTAGAGTGGTTTCTCCCGTAGAAGGATCTTTCTTACCCGAAATCTAGAGATTTGTGAATTAAAATATTTTAAAAGCAACTTATCCCCGGAAGCCTGATATTTTACCTTGAGATAATTAATGCAGTTCGGAACAAAGTTATGTGAAAACACATCTCACTTTTATTTATCTCTAAATTATCTTCTCTCGTTTTTAAAAATATTCTATTTATAAAATGATAATAAAAACGGTTTCCTAAGATGATTTTCTTGTTTTATTTTATATTTTTCTCAAGCTTTCGGTTATTACAAACCTTTCTATAGGTGTATATAGTCATATACTTCTGTACAATTACAATTAAACAACTTTATTGACATCTCGTCAATCTTTACACTCAGAGGGAGTTATAAGGTAATAATAATGGTAGGAATAAAGAGAGATATATACAATCGACGTAGCCCTCTCCGAGGGCACGTCCGGATCAGGAGCTTCTGTAGAAGGGCTTGTAAAACCCGAAAGCTTGAGAAGAATATGTAAATAAAACATTTCTTCAAATAAAGGACACTTCGGCCAGTAAAAAATCTTTTGTCCTCGTCAGGAGACGCCAGGATTTACTGGCCGAAGTATCTTTTATTTGAAGAACTATGAATGCCGACCAGGCAGCCTCTATCTTTACAATAATAAAACATGTAAACCATATTTAGAAACCGTTTTATTTAATATCTATATGAAAACTTTGTTAATATAGGCTATGACATCACATGAAACTATGGTATCATAGATTGTTAGA